TAGCAAAGAGTCTGCATGATCTTCTCTCTTCCTCTCCGGTCTCCTATCATCCAGTTTCTCTCATTATCCCACAGGCACACATGCCTTTTTTTCCATTTCTTCAGAGTACCAACTTCTCTCCTGCCTCAGGACATTTGCTTACCTTATAACCTTTGCCTGGAATTCTCTCCCTCCAATATTTCACTGGGTTACTCTTGCTTATGCTTTGGGGTCCAACATAAGCACTACTTCCTTAAAGGAGACACTTCCTCATCTAATTCTAGTCCCATCATGAGAGGTGATAATCTCTCACATCCCTGTGCTTTACTGATACTAGTCATAACTCATAATCATAACCTGTATCTGCCAGGTTGCAAATGCTGCTAGAATGGAACCGTTTCTGTTCTGTTGACCACTGAATACTCTGCATCTAGCTTAGTATCTGCTATACCTGATGGATTACAGGGTAGATAATGGACTCAGGAAGAACTGGATTAGAGATGTATTTTTAGAAGTTTTAAGCATAGAATAGACATAAAATTGCTATAGAACATTCACAGTAAGAAGAAAATACTGAATTCTAGGGACCACAAATATCCCTATGTGTGGACAACCTTATACCCAAGCAATCAATTCCCAGTTTTTCGCAATGAAAAGAAAAGCCCATTGAAGATGATAATAATACTGGTGGTACAGCAGTAAACAGTAGCAGTGCTGCTAGCAAAAATAATAGGAGAAATTCTTATTTTTTCCTACTCACCATTTTCTGCACAATTTCAGTAGCTTATTTTGATGTCAAACTTTATCACAGTTGAGTACTGCCTTCTAAGCATATAAACTATAGAATATAAAATCCTCCTCTTTGAAAACCATAGGCAGTTTTGACAATACATTTGAATTCATTAACCTCTTAACTCTGGTACAAGTCCATATTCACAAGTATGACAATGATTAAGTTAATGAGTTAATCATTCCCTTCTAGTTACAGTCTTTCTTAATTAGTTGATTTAAATTGGGGAGTGGGAGGAGGAAGGGGAAGAATCTTCTGTGGAGTCTATTTTCATAGTGCCAGATAAAATTTCTTAAGGCTCTTTTTTTCTTGAAAGATGCAGAAATGTAGACATCTTTTCAATACCGTTTATGATTTTTTAAGCTACCAAGTCCTGCTAAGCTGATTATCATATTTTAGCAAAATAAATCACTTGCCAAACACTTTCTACTGCCTGCCCTGTGAAGACCAGACCCTTAAATTGGGCCCTCCAGGGAATACAAAGAGGCCAAGGGATGTGACATAGGCTTTGCTGGCTTGTGAATTTCAAGTGTTCTAGTGACCTAACCAAAAATTAAAGGCAATAATCGTATTTTCAGTTTCATCCCCTTAGAGGGCCTTGGTTCACGCATAACACTGTTCCTGGGGTGTTTTTTTTTTTTTTTTTTCAGTGTCAAAAGTGACTCTAAGTCCACACATAAATTAGACCAGGCCCCACAAATATCCTATCATTACATTATGCAGCATTTTAACTTTCCTTTCTCATTTATGACTTTAGAAGCTCTTTCAAGCAAAGTTAAAATAAATGCTAGATGATAGTGTCAGCTTTCCTCACTTCAGTCATTTCTCTCTTGTCAGTGAATGTGTAAGTTGCAAAATGCCTTTACCCCATCCCTATATAGGATATATAAGTGAGATTATACCAATTAATTTTTTACCTTTGGAGTTCAAGAATCTTTTTAATTTTACATCCTGTGTCTGCAGCAAAGAGAGACACAAAGATGGGAATATTCAGTATAAAACTACCTAGCTAAAAAAATTGGAAGATATCAGAGATTCATCGAGGTACTTAAGAGAATTGATTTACATACACAACTGTTGTTTCCACTTCCACTCTTCTTCACTTCTTAAAACATTACTCAATCTCTGCTTCTATGAAATTGACTACTTTAGATACCTTATGTAGGTAGAATCATGTAGTACTTGTATTGTGACTGGCATATTTCACTTACGTAACATACTCCAGGTTCATCCATATTGCAGCATGTGGCAGAAGTCCCTTCTTTTTTAGGGGTGTTAAAAGCAGACAGTATAGTGGCTGCCAGAGGCTGGGGATGGGGGAAATGGGAAGGTGTTGTGCAACTGATGTGCATTTTCAGTTATGCAAGATAAAGAAGTTCTAGAGATCTGCTATTCAACATTGTGTCTATAGTTTGTAATACTGTATTGTACACTTAAAAATGTGCTAAATGGGTAACCTCCTGTTAAGTTTTCTTAGCACAATAATAACATTTTATAATTAATTCTTGCTCTCATTATTCTTATGTGTACCTTCAAATCTTAAGCATCTTACCAGTTTAAATTTATATTCTCTTTCCACTGTTTGTTAATCAAAGTCAAAGCATATTTCAATTTAAATACTTTGGTGGATTTTTTTTTATTATTATACATCAGTCTCCTGGACATCAAAGTAATCACAGCTGGAACTCTGTACACTATCATTTGGAAGCATAAAAAATAAATTTTTTGCTTAGAAACTTCCTTAGATATTGTCTAATTGTTTACATATTTTTATGAGTTTATCTTCATAAACAAATGAGACTATTAAGGCTCCCCTGGGAGTGAATTGCTCTAATTCTCCCCAGTAAATTTAAGCCTATTGTAAAAAAGAAGGGAAGTTTTGTAAGACAAGGTAGTTATTGAAAACTGAATCCTTTTTTGCAAAAAGAGCAGTGATCTCAGGAATTCCACTTGGCTCCACACAGAAGCCTCATCATTTGGTTTCTACCTTGCTCAAATATTAGCTGTGATAATAGGATATGGTCCCAGTAAAGCTGTGAGGTTCCTAATAGGTCCAAGAGAAAGAAAACTGAGAGGGTTGGGAAAGAGAAGCCTATCGTTGACCTTATAAACCATTCTATCATTTAGTTTCTGAATTGCAATTTTTCACATGTTCTGGAAAACAAAGAATATGAAAATTATATGTAAGAAATCCAAGAACTTATTCTGAAAAGTAAAGAGTTCTCAGCAGTTTTCACTATAATGTAAAAGAATGATTTTATATTTTTTTTATTTACATCTATATTATTTATATTGTTTCTGATCTTGTCTTCATACTCAATTATAAGTATCTTGAAGGCAGAGGCCTTGACACAGGACTTTTACATACTGCTGAAGAATCATAGTGCACAAAATACACATGTAAATTAATACAGAGATGAAACAGAATTAATCATTACTTAAAATTTTAATGCCATAAGCAAGAAACTAAATATTCCACACTTCTCAGGAGGGATTAAATATGCCTATATTTAATAGTTCAGTAAATAATTAAAAAACGTGTTTGAGAATTTTTTTTAGATTTATTTTTTTATTTATACAATAGTTGGGGTGTAGGCCAGAGGTGCAGAAGGGTGAGAGCATTCATCAGAGACAGAGTAAGGAGCAGAACAGGCAGACAGACCGAAAGCACTGCTGAGGGGAGCAGCGTGCGAGACAGGAGAGGTCTGCCTCGCCATGTGGGAATCTCCCTGGCCTGCTGGGAATTGAACCCTTGCTGCAGACACAAGTGTTTTTTATTTACCTTTAATTTTTAAAAATTAATATTAAACAATATGATGCTTACAGTTTAAATGTGTCCATATGTATGTGAGGTTATAATGTGTGTATACAATTATATGTGTGTATACATGTGCATGTGTGTATATATATGAGGGAGTGTGTGTGTGTATGTGTGTGTGTGTGTGTGTGTGTCCATGAGAGAGAGAGGAAGGAAAGAAGCATTTCTGAGGACATACTGCAGGGGAGGAGAAGGGAAAGGGATCAGAGGGAGGGAGGGAGGGAGGAGCACAGGGTACTGAGGTGATGGTGCACGGGTGCATTGGTGAAGGAAACTCTATGGGGACTACAACTGAGGGGGTGGGGGGAAGCAAATATTGTTTAAAAATGAACAATGATGTAATGAAAACATTATAGTTAGAAAAATAAAATAAATCATAAAACTTAAAAAAAAAAATAGAAGCATTTCTGAGCACCTGACCAGCCACTTGGCTGAAGAGGACTTCCTGTCTTTATATCATACACTTTATCAGTGCTGCCTTAACACTTGACAAGTTAAAACTCCATTGATTTGCAGCCTCGATTACTCAAAATGTGCTATTATTACCCAGCCTCCCTGGCAAATGGGAGATCTCAGAGTGCAAATACTGGGAAGAGAGTGGCTCCACTTGGAAACAAGTCACGGGGTTTTCCTCTTGTGGTGCAAGGGAATACAATCTTTCAGGAAAGCCATGCCATCAAAACAGTGAAGAATAGTATAATGTATTCAATATAATTGGAGAAATAAAAATAAGTCCCAACACATAAGAATATGTAATTCATGAACTTAACTCAATATAGTACAGGTTAAAGAATTTATTTAGCCACTATAAGTTCATCAGATCAATGTAATCAGTCGACATTTTGATTAATATGAGTATTTTTCACACTGGTTTATGCAGTTCGACCAATTTCACTATCTAAACCAATCAGTTTAGAGACTGAGCAATTTCGACACCTAAATTATTTCCATAAGGATAAGGTTTGAAATGTTACAAGTATGTAAAACAACATATTCACACATGTGATTTTTTCATAAACAATTGATTAACTCATAGTTCATATATGATTAACTAAAAATGGAATTTCCAACACAAATGAAAGCTATTACAATTATGGGGATGGTGGTAGAAGTTGAAAGACTGCTCTTAAACTATAATACCTTAGGTGTGTATCTGGTTGTTTAAAGCTGTCCCTAGACAGCTTTGTTGTAGAATGTTAGGAGCAGATTATCAGACACACGAAAACCTCTGTGGGTTAAGAAAAGGACTTTCAGGCCACAGGATTCTCAGGAGTTCTAAGAAGTCACTCCTAGTGAGAGGGACCACATTCGATGAGGATTGACAGTTTAGACTGAAAACAGCTTTCAAAGAGACTAATCTTATAAAGTATTGCAAATGAATAAGGGCAACAGGAGTAGGTGTTCACCTGCCAGTCTCCGCTGAGCAAGATGAGAGCCTGTCTGTACTCACACATGCGCCGACTAAAAAAAAAAAAGAGTCACATAAAAAACAACATCTTTGCTACGGAGACGTTTTTAACAAGTATTACAGAAAGAGCACCAGCTACCAAAAAGAGTTGCCAGGGCCAGAAGGAGCCATCAATCGAAACAGTTTACATTTCAAAGTTTTTCCAAGAAGAGTGAAAAACGTCTCCCGGCCTTGATGGAAGAGGGCGGCGCTTAGTAATCTCTGTGCTACTATCTCAGGTCTCTTTCTCTAGAGGGGCCCTTTAACCCTAAGGCTGGTGCCAACAGGTAGAGAGAAAGAGAAATGTTAACATCTCCCCAGGCTTATGTTCTGAGCAGCCTAAGAGGCTGAGGAGTCAGCATGAAAATTATCTTCCTTTTATGAGCTTCATGTGAAAAGAACCTCCTTGTTCTTGGGCACTATTTGAGATGAATAGATCACAATTACAATTACTTCTATACTCCACACTTCTGACATCACTTAACAAATAATTATACATATCTGCCTTGGAATGTTCTCCCCCACCCCCCCAGAGATAATTCAGGAATTGATTCTTATTTGTCTCTGCTTCTTTGACAATCTAGGAAATGAATGAAAATAATGCTACATTTTCACCAGGGTATTTGTCCCTTGAAAACAAATGTTTTTTGGTTTGAAATAAAAAGTATGCTGGCTTTCCTTTGCCCAAGGAAAAGGAGAACATTACTTAAATTCAGTGGCAATTTTTAAAAGGTACATAATCTAGATGTAAGTTTGCTTTTTTTTTAATAATACTTTTGTTTTTAGCTTTGTATTTTCTGTTTCATTTTTCCACATCACTTCTAAACACCAAAGCTAATTTCCTGAATCTATTAAAATCAGCTCTACATTTTCATTCTAGAAGCAGGTCAAATGGAAACACTAATCTAAGAAAAAAATTGTAATTTCCTACTTAAGACTTGGGGAAAGAAAATAACAGACACTGGAGCCTTTTGCCATTGCCTAGTGCCCCATGAAAAAGGTCATTTGCGCATCTCCTTCCCACATACATGATCCATGTCAACAAGCCCCCCACTAATCCAATGGTATCAACATGTCGTTTTGACCAACAGGCAGTTTACACAAGTGTAATAAAAACTCATGCCATAATAGCCCAGAAGTATTGCCGTGACCATTTACTAAAATTGCAATGGAGTAGAATTGAATAGAAAAAGAAATATCTGAAAGGACCCCTGTCTCTTTTTGCGCACACAAACAAATACTGTTCATTATGGTTATAAAAATTGCAGTCACTTTCTTAGATTGATCTATTGATATAAATTACAGACTATCACTGGAAAATATTATCAATTTCCATACCAACATCCTTTGTAAATACCATTGGTTCTCAATGAACTCCCCCTAACCTCCTAGTCTCAGGCAATTCCTGTGTGATGTACATAATTCTCTCAACACTGATCCATTACTTCTGTTCAGTGTTTGGGGTCAGGACAATAGCGTAAAGTCAAAGGTAATTAGCAGCCCTCTCAATAACCAGCTACAGGACTGCAGCCTAAATGACAGGCCAAAAACGCCAAGAAAAGAGGTAGCAATAAAAAGTAGAAGGTTAGTGCCGGTATATTCTGTGGTTCGAGCAGCTGCTATGGACTATCAGCATCACCAGGAGACCTCATTGCATTAGCATAAATTCAAATGACAAATGCACAGTGCTATTCAGAGACTCATTAATTTGCAATGGGTGCAGTGCTCATGACATATTAGTGCAAAATTCAAATGTCTCTGTAGCAATGTGAATTTAGTTGTGAGACCAAAGTCGCTAAAATGAAAATGTGTGGTTTTTTTTAACAGTTTATTAAATTATGAACTGTGATGACTATATTCGTGCATCTTTTTAAGCAGATGAGGTCCAGCGTGCTCCAGCGGCAAATCGCATGGTTTGTGTTGATATTTTCCTGTCAGACAATTTCCAAGCAGCAGATAAGATACTAGACTGTCTGCTTTGCTCTGCTGCATGCGGGCTGAGAGCTCCCCCTTCTGGACAAATGACATTGCCACTCTAAAAGAAAACACCATTTATTGTCTTCTTTTTCGTATTTTAACAACAGGTTTTGATGCAAAAAAATTTCAGTGTCTACCTAAAGTGAAAAGAAATTAATTTTCTATCATTTATTATAAATGAGAATATATGGTAACTTTATGTAAAGAAGCAGAAGTCACCCTAATCAAAGGTGTTCTTGTATAGTTTTATGTGAAGCTACTGTAAGACTTCAGTTACAAGTATCTTTTTAAAAAGTATTGCCTAATTTTTATATATATAAGAATATAAACAAAAACAGTTCTAGGATATTATCATATACATTTTTCTTCCATGATATCATAAACAAGCTTAGAATGACTACTATTCAATTGTATAAAGTAAAAAGCTGGCATATACATAGATGATCTTTTAAACAAAGCAACCAAGTATATACTATATTCACTTCGGTTGAATGAGATTATGAAAAGACACAGACAAGGAAAGTCAGATCAAATCTGTACCGCATGTGTTTAATAGGTTAATGTTTCTTTTTAACATAAGGAATTTTCTGTCCAATTATTTCATTAGTCAAAGCAGATATATTACAGGTGTGCCTTTTAAAAATTGGCATGTCACATATATATATGTATATACATATATAAATAACAACTCAGATTAATACAACAATGGGATGAAGGAGGTTAACTTTGTTTGCGGTATTGACATACACAAAATGTCAACACCTACACTATTCAGAACCCAGAGTTTATCATCTCTTGGAGCACACCCTTATCCCATTTATATGATAGAGACGCTCACATATACATCTAATATTTATAAAGACGTACATTTGGCATTTTTTAGTATAAGCTATAGCTTTCCAAACCATGTAACATGCTTCTGAATAAATTAAAAATCAAGTTACCACGTTTAGGAGTTGCTTTTAGAGACTAGAATTCCACAAGTAAAATTTTGCCCTTTGATCATTTGAATTAACTAATCTCTATCAGGCTTCCAGAGGTATGCTTAAGCAGATTCTTACGAAAAATTATGTTTTTACTTTCTAAACTTTGAGTAAATTAAATAATATAAAAAGGGTAGTTATATCACCCTATCAGTGATTCTAAACTTAAATTATGCAATCCTTGAGCACTTGGTTTATGGAGAATTGAGGGAAAGCCATTCCCCTTAAAGCTGTGTACATTTTAAATTGATAATATCATTGATGCTTTGTGCCATCTTCAACAACAAAAAGTAAAATCACTGTAATATACTCTACATGCAGTTGAATTGGTTTTGTTATTTAGCAGTTACAGGAAAGATATATTGCTACACTGGATATGTGGAAAGAGCATGTACCTGAGTAATACCAGAGTCATCATTGTAGCTAAATGTCTAGGCATTGCTTTCCCCTAATACATGTTCTCACACCAAGGAATTAGAATTCCAAACTCACAGAATGTTAGAGCTAGAACAGTCACTGTTAATTATTTTTCATTTTGCAAACACAAGAGCCAGGAGCTCAGAAAAGTTCAGCAAATTTACTAAGATCTGAGGGCTAGAAAGTTGCAAAACTCTACACATTCCTCATACTTGAGCACATAAGCTGGCTTCTTAAAACAGATTGCTGAGCCCACTTCCAGAGCTTCTGATTCAGTTTTTTTTGGTGTGTGTGTTGGGGGGTGGGGGGTTGTTTGTTTGTTGCAGGGGGGCGGAGTGATAGGCATTTCTAGCTAGTTCCCAATGTTCTGCTTTTGGTGGTCCAGGGACCACACTTTGAAAACTACAGGTCTCTGGATCAGTTTTTGTAAACTGCTGTTATCTTATTTCTAATAACTTTCCTAATCATGATGAGCAAAACAAACTAAGCCAACACCACATTACTTTGTTGTCCTCTCTCTAGTAGAGGGCTGAAGTAATACCTACAGACTGAAAAATCTGGGAAGTTACAGAAACAAACAAACAAAAAAGCAAGTTATTCAATATCAGATTAGGGCATTAAAGTGCACTAAACACTGAAAAGATTATGACTGCTGAGGTGAATTTCTATCCCAACCAAACCCATCTAAATCTCAAGGTCAAACACAACCTTAAACCATATCCAGTATCAAAGAGTCAAATAAAGCACCTCTCTCTCTCTCTCTCTCTCTCTCTCTCTCTTTCATTAAAGTGTCCATATCACTTACACCCTGAGCACCTAAACATTCCCCAGTTAATATTAAGACCTAATAAAGGCAGGTCTACTTCTGTTATTTCCAAGCTGCTTTTTTTTTTTTGTCATTATATCTTACTTGTGAACTTGTGACTGTAAAATAGCTCTGAACTGCAATTTTCTTAAATCATAACAGAATCTACTTAGAAACCAAATATAGGAAAGATGGCCTTATTCTCTGTTCCCTATCAATATTTAGACTAATGTAAAATTTCACTTTCTTTTCAGACTCTAAAATAAAACAGTATTCACAGACCTAATGAATCAAAGTGCAACTCATCATTGCCTGTTATAGTATTAACAAATTTAGGTCATCAGAATGAGGAAAAAAGAGCCCTGTAAAAGTAAAGTGGAAATCGCCTGTGCTTGAAAATCGGGCTCAGAAAAACAGGAACATATTCATATTTCACCCAATCCCTTTTTTGCTCGTTCCTTAACCTGCAGCACAGAATTTTACAAAACTGTTCAGTTCTATGATCTCACAGTGTAATTCATTCCCTTTTTCCTGGTTTAGAGAATGACTGTGATGAAGATTAGCACCAACAAACAAAAATATATTTTTTAATTGTTTTCAAAATAGTTTTTGTTTAGAAAATGAAAGTGATTGACAGTATAAAAATATTTTAATTTTTTTAAACCTTGTTGTTTTGTGTTTTCTCTCCCATTTTTATTGGTGTATAATTACCTCTTCTTCAAACAATTTTTAAAATAACTGCCTTTTATCAGTTTTCTAGAAAAAAATTATTTCATGGAATAAATTTGATCCAAATTCACACTATAAATAAAAAAATAAAGTTTTCTGAAGA